TGTGCTGCAATAACCTGGGGAATGTGCTTATCGGTTTGAGTGGGAGGAGCGTTACTCTGGCGTTTTGGTGTTTTCTCGGGCGTGGTTGTGAGCTGCAGGTCAAAAATGCCAATATTGTCAGACTACACTAATGCCATAACAACTGTAAATCAGAAATAGCGTGGCAATTATCCTCAGACTAATTATGTAATCTGCTTAGCAAATCACATAATTACTTTATAAAGGAGCACTACAGTTTTTTCTGAAACTAGCTAATTTGGTGTGCTTTTTAAACTGTTTAGTGTAATAGAGTTGGCATAATGAGATAGTGCCTGTCTGTTACACTCATTTTGCACTTGGGTTTCTTAACTTGTAGGAAGGAATGCAAGTTTGTTCACAACTTCTACTCGGACCACAATCTCTTTGTTCTAAAACAATATGGACTTCAGCGTTTTAACAGTGATGAACTTCGCCAGCTTCTGCTTCAAAATGACCCTTCCCTCTTACCAGAGGTGAGTAGTGCTGTGACAGTTTTGTAGCCTTGTGTTTCAGTGAGTATCACGAAGTGGAAGAGGCTTGATACTGGCTAGAGATGTTAGGTTAGCATAATGCAAATCTAAAACTTCAAATCTGCATTGTCTGCGGTGGGTTGACCTTAGCTGGCAGCTAAGCACAGTGCTTTGTTCACTCCCCTCTTTCTCGCCCCAAAACAAGAAGGGAAAAAGTGGCAAAGACAGTTTAGCAAGTGGATGAAAGAGGGGAGAAAACAAGTGTTGCAAAGGAAGTTAGTCACCACGTCCCACAAGCAGACCAATGCCCAGCAAGTCTCTGAGCGAGTCCTGCATTGTAAGAAGGACCCACCTCTGCTTTCTCCACCTCTTTTTTTAATTTTTTATTTTAGAGCATGACATTACATGGCATGGAATACCCCTTTGGCCAGTTTGGGCCAGTGGTCCCAGCTGTCTCCTCTCTCAGCCCACCAACCCTGGAGTGGGGGGGGGCAGAGTGGAGAAAAAGAGAAAGCTTTGACACTGTGCAAGCACTGCTTAGCAGTAACTGAAACATTGGTGTGTTATCAATGCTGTTTTGATCACAAATCTAAAACATAGCACCATTCGGTCTGCTGGGAAGAAAATTAATTCCATCCCAGCCAGATCCAATACTCCTTACCATCAAATTCAATTCAGTAAAGTTCACTATTCCAAAACTAGAAAACCAAAGAGTCTGGGTAGTGACACAATAAAATCGCCTATCCTACATTTATGTGACTTAGAACAAAATCCCATCTGCTTGAGAATGTCTATAAGATGGTTGTTGTCTGTCTGAAAGATCTTTCTAGACATTAGCAGGGAAAAAGGAAAACTTATCAAGCAATCATTTGGAAAACAAGAAGAAACTTGTATAAGTCTTTTAAATGCAAATGTAAACATGTAGCTGTAAAAATTTAAAAATCGTGAATTCAAACAGTCTGTATGATCACATTGTACTTTAATTTTTTTTTTTTTTTTTCCTCTACCCAAGGTCTGCTCGCATTATAACAAAGGGGATGGACCTTATGGATCTTGTACCTATAAAAAGATCTGCACCAAACTCCATATTTGCCAGTACTTTTTGCGGGGACAGTGCAAATTTGGCAGCAGCTGCAAGCGATCCCATGACTTATTAAAGTCAGAATGTTATGACAAACTGGAGAGACAGGGAATGAGCTCAAACATAATTCAGAAACTACCCTCCATTTATAGGAATATGTATGACATAAACAATGGCAACAGGAACGTGTGTGACATACAAGATGCCAGGTCTTCACCAGGCAAAGGTAAATGAGATCAGCTTTTGAAAACATCAGAAGAGGAATCATTATAGTGAATGTAACATTCTCACAGATATCATTAAGAAAACAGAATTCACATCTTGACATGTCTTTTAGGAGGTGCCTTGCACCTTTCTGATTGACAGAGATTTGTGTGTTGACAAGTCAAGTGGATTTCAAGGCATTGTGGGTTCCTGAGAGATAAAGTGCTTGGTATTTATAAAAATCTTGAATTTGGGGTTAGAAATGCGTAACAGGAACTGGAAATAGGGAGTTTTGTTGGTTTGTTTTTGGTTGGGTTTTTTTTTTTGTAAAAACATGAGGGTAGTGAACTGGTTAAGAACAGGGATTATAAACTACTTTAACCATTTTTTTTCTTTAATGCAGTCATTGTTTAGCACAAGAATACAGACAGCAGCATCCTAGTTTTCAGAGATGTAATATTTTGTTCTTTTCTTCTGAAGTTCCTTAGAATTGTAAGATAAGTATTATTTAGCAGGGAAGAAGAGGATAGCAGAATGGAAAATCCAAGTGTGTATGTGTGTGTTCATCTCTGCCATTCTCCCTGCAGTTCCTTCTTCCCTTCTTTGTTTCCTTAGGTGTGCTTTAATTTACAGAAGTATCAAATTTTGAGACTTCAGATTTTATAGCTGCCAATGTGTACAGCTATGTGGAATGTGTGGTTAACTCAAGTCTGTCTAGAAATGTAAAGGCATTGGATTCTATTATTATTTTGTAGTGATAACTAAAAACTGCTTCTGAGGAATTTAGCAGTTACGGGAAAGTCAGGTTTAGAAAGGATGAATAAAGGGCTAGGACTTTTGAGTATACAAGGTTATCAAAGACTTCAGTGCCTTTCTGGAACTGAATGCAGTTTCATAGTTGTCAACACTGTTTGTAGGCATCTTCCCTAAAAACACTTTTAAGAGGGCTTATTGGAACAAGATGTGTTAATAAGGCTTATAATTCTGCCTCCCCCCAGAGAGAAAACACAGCTCTAGCGAAGTATCCTCAACTACAAATGATGATGATTTGGAACAGATCTGTTTATATCATCTGTACAGAAGTTGTGGCTTTAAAGGTAGGTTGTGACTATAGCAATTCCAGTCTATTTTCTCTTTTCTCATTGTCCTGGTTTCGGCTGGGGTAGAGTTAATTTTCTTTCTAGTAGCTGGTATAGGGCTGTGTTTTGGATTTAGTATGAGAACAATGTTGATAACGCACTGATAGTTTTAGTTGTTGCTAGGTAGTTGTAGCATCTAAGTCAAGGACTTTTCAGCTTCTCACGCTCTGCCAGGTGCACAAGAAGCTGGGAGAGCACAGCCAGGACAGCAGACCCAGACTGGCCAAAGGGATATTCCCTACCATAGAATGTCAGGCTCTGTTTATAACTGGGGAAGTGAGCCAGGAGGGGGGATTGCTGCTTGGAAACAGACTGGGCATCGGGTGGTGGTGGTTTTGTTTTGGTTTTTTTCTTCCATTGTGGTGAGCAATTGCATTTGTGCATCACTTGTTTTATTTAACTTCTTTTTTATTATTGCTGCTGTTGTTGTTATTATCTTCTTTTGTTATCCTGTTAAACTGTCTTTATCTCAACCCAGGAGTTTTTTTTCCATTCTCCTCTCCGTCCTCATGGGAGGGAAGGGTGAGCAAGCGGCTGCATGGTGCTTAGCTGCCAGCTGGGGCAAACCCATGGCACTCATAAAGAGAAAGTTGTAGATGTCTTTCACAGAAAGGGGAAACTTCAAAGCTTATGCTTATCTATAGTTAGATCTCATTGTAATCTTGAGGGCTGGTAGGAAAGTGACCTACCTGGTATACCAAATAAAGGAGCTGTTTTGTTTTACTCTGAAGTGTATAATATCAGCCTGTGCTGGACATTGGCTACTACACCTGTGTTCACCTAAAGGTGAACTGACACTGAATGACAGGAGTCCCATTTCCAAATAGCTAGAAAAGATACTCTGAATTCTACGTTCTTCCTTGTTTCTTCTAGCACTCTTCTGTTCCATCTGTCTGAGCTGTCTCCCTTTCAAAATGTTCCGACTTGTCCAGGAAAAAGGCTGCTTTTTCCAGCTTTTTCTTGTCCTTGTGTCGTCCTTTTCCTTCTTGATGTTCTTGACCTGCAGTAGCTCCCTGATGTAGTGCACAGCTTCTCATAAGAGCTGTGTGGTGCAGACTCCTTGACTTTCCCTGTAGTTAAGTTGCCTGTTCTGTTATGAAAGCTAGCCTCAAGTTTATGCATATGTGTACTGGTGATGGGATCTTATCTTCTATTGAGTGACTGCATACTGACTCTTCAAATGATTTCCGATTAACGCTTGCGATACCTGAGCCACTGCTACCACTACTCTTGTTCCTCCCCAGGTGGGGCCTGGACCCTTAGAGACTTCTTGAAGTCTCTAAATTAGCTACCTCCTGTCCTAAAACTAAGAAGTGTTTTGTGTTTAGGTTTTGGGGGGGGGGGGTTTCCCCCCTCAGTAATACCACTTTGGGACTACGTAGTTAAGCGTAGATATTTGAGTCTACACCGTTAATTCTGTATGTGAAATAATAGCTTTGTGTGAGCTTGTGATCTTGATGCATTGTAAATTTTTGTCTTTGAGAAGACAGAACGATCCTTCACCACTGAGCTCTAGCTAGCAACTTTGAGCCACAAAGAAAATCTAGTAGGTACAGAAACTGAACTTCTGCTTAAGCTCAAAATTAAGGTTTGCTTGATCATGCTGAAAACTTCTGAGTTCCTGCTTGTAATGATTCCATAGGTGAACGCTTTCCATAGGTATGCATTTGATACTTTGACAAGCTAGGTGTACAGCCCTGAAATGTTGGAGTTTTTCTCATAGACTGTAAAAATAATGCATCCCTTACTTTTTTTTTTTTTAAACTTTTATAGACAAGTGTATCAGAACTCATTTTCACTTGCCATATAGATGGCAGATCTCTGATGGTAATACCTGGAAGGACTTGAAGAATATGGAAGAAATAGAAAAAGCATATTGTGACCCCAGTAATGCCAGGTATAAACTCTTATAAAATTTAATTATGTTTGGAGTTTGCTATATTGGACCAGACCCTTAGTGGCTATAAATTGCTACGATTCTATTGCAGTCATTACATAAGCAGCTTCATTTGGTATTCTCCTGACCTTGCTATGCTGGAGATCTGCTCCATTGTGACTTACTTATGCCTGGAGTCTGTATAGGACCTTCTGGGTTACTGTACTGGGTTTGGCTGAGACGGAGTTAACTTTCGTCATAGCAGCCCATATAGTGCTGTCTTCTGGATTTGTGACTGAAACGGTGCTGACAATGCACCAGTGTTTCAGGCATTGCTGAGCAGTGCTTGCCCAGAGTCAAGGCTTTCTCTTTTTCCCCCACTCTGCCCTGCTCCTCCACAGTGGGTAGGCTGGGGGTGGGCAAGGGGTTGGGAGAGGATCAGCTGGGACAGCTGACCTGGACCGACCAAAGGGATCTCCCATACCGTATGACGTCATGCTCAGCAATAAAACCTGCGGCAGAGGAAGAAGAGGGAGGGGTTTTTGGTTTGCGAGGTGGCTGCTGTTTGGAGGCTGGCTGGGCATTAGACTGCCTGTGGGAGGTGGTGAGCAATTTGCTTTGCTTTATTTATTTGTTTGTTTATTTATACCACCACCCTCCTTCTTCACCTATTGAACGGCCTTTATATTGACCCATAACTTTTGTCACTTTTGCCCTTCCTATTTTCTACCATCTGTTGTGCAGGGGAGGCGGAGTGAGCAAACAACTTTGTGGGTACTTGATTGCTGGCCAGGGTCAATCCACCAGTTATTTTATGTGACTGACCCATAGACTAATATTCTTAGCTGTGAAAAAATGTATAAATACTTCCTACTGCTGCTGCCATAGGAAGTCTTAATCCTCACTAAGAATTGCTGGAAAGCTGCAGAGAACTGTGATTTTATCACAAGTACTTGTGGGAATCTCTTCTTTGGTTAGAGCTTGTCAATACACAGCTTGACCCCATGCTTAGAAGTAACCTTCTCTTTCACCTTTTGAGATGGAGGATGGAAAGGTAGCATGAGATTTGCCCCTCCAGCCCTCTTCCCTCCCCCAGTCCATATTGTGGAACTGGTAGAACACCTTGTGTATCTGGAGAGAGAGGTGCAGAGAACCGTTAAGAATACGGAAATACCTTTAAGAGTTTGGAACTGGAAGGGGCTCCAACCAGTATGCTGTGTCCCATGCTGGAGAATTTACCTAGCCCTCTTATGTTGTGTTAGAGGCTCTTTGAAGCCATGCTTAAGTTATGACAGTGTTCTGTTTAGAATATAGTTGGTTAGCAAGAAGAAGGCAGTGTACTTTTTCCACTGTTTCTGTTCATCTTATGTAACTCACTAATTTACGAGTTGATAATGGTTACTGCACACGGAACCAATGTGAGACGTAATACTGTAATGCAAAATATGTACAAACGCAAGACAGAACTGGGATTGTGGTGGAAACTGTAGGTTTGTGTTCTGCTTTTGAGTGATGTTGACTTAATTTGCAAATTTGTGGTGGGCTTCTAAACCTATGTAAAGCTTCACAGTTCTGATTTTTTTTTCTCCCTTTTTTTACAGATTTAATAATGATGATACTGAAAGTGGCTCTGTCTTGTCATGTATCTGCTTTGTGAATATGTGCTGTGGGTTTGCAAAGGTTAGACGTCTTTCTACAGCCTCCTCTGTGACCAAACCCCCTCACTTCATTCTTACAACAGAATGGATCTGGTACTGGAAAGATGAATATGGCCTGTGGCAGGAGTATGGAAAAAAAGTAAGTGTGGAGAAATGGGGAGACTCTCAACTCTGTGTTAAAAGTGCAGAACTACTGAAAAGTACACAGTGTTTATATATCATCCCCTCTTTTGTCACCCACTTGCTTCCTCCCTCTCACTGATACCATACAGATGGACTTTAGAGGCATAATGGGATCTTTTCCCTGAGAATTTGACTGGTTCATGTAGTGGAATGCTTACTGGTGAGTCACAAAAATTATTGACAGATAATTCTTCAGTGAGTCATGCCAGATAGGATCACATTAATACATTCTTTTCACCGCTTCTGACTAAAACTTCCTTTTTCTGAGGTTCCAGTAGTACTTCGTGCATCTTCGCTAAGGTCTAGTTGGTGAATGTGCAGTCTCAGTAGTAGTGTTCACCGCATGCACTTTGCAATGTAAATTTAGGCTTCATAACACTGCTTGGTTTGTTTTAGAGGTGGTTTCAACAGGGTTTTGCCTGACAGCCACTGTCATGCACAAAGGCTGATAGGTTAGTGCAGCCACCATACCATATGACAGTTGTTGGTTTTTAAACTTGCTTGTATATAACAGACCAGGCGAATCTTTTTTGGCCTGACAGGATGATAATCATGCAGCTGCCACTGTCACTAGCGATGACCTGGAGAAAGCTTATATAGCCAAAGGTTCTCCAAAGCTGAACTTCCAGGCTGGAAGACATGAATATGAACTCAATTTTGGAGGTATGTTCCATTTTCTTGGGGTTTTTTTTTGTTTTTCTCCTTTTCCCTCCCTCCCTGGTCTTTTGTGGTTTTAAACTACAATAGTGCAGTAGATAGGAGAGAGAAATTTGAACTGTGAACTGCAACGCTTACAGAGGCAGATCAAACTTCTCAGGATAAGAGCCGTTCACCTAAGCAAAGTAGCATTCCTATTCCTCCAGACCTTTTATTTTTTAGAAGTTCTTGTGCTAGGTTTCAAAACATCTGTCAGCAAGTCAAAGTGTGACATTGCCATTGATGCTAGCACCAACACAAATGGTGAGAAACTTCTGGAAGACTTGGTAAGCCAGCTTCTGGTCTGTGTTAATCACTGGCTTGCAGAAAAAGGACTACTTGGGCAAGGTGTGGGGTCCAGACAATCTTTAGCATTGCAATATTTATGTAGCTGTTTTCTTTTTGTAGCTCTACCTGTCTGAAAAGGCTGAGGAAATACCTTGACTGTGTCAAAGTAGAGAGATGGGTTTTCCAAGATTTCAGGAAATTTAAGCCACTTGTGATGGCACTGTCCTCTCTGAGCTGTTGCCTTTCCAGGTATCCTCTTCAGAAATCATGGGGAACAGTGGTCGTGGGAATCAACCTGCCCATACTGTCATTTTGGTGTAGTTGCCTTTCATCCAACTCTCCATTACTATCTCATTCTGCATGGGGCGGGGGGGAAACAAGCAGAAAGGGTATGTAATATGTTGTTTGTGATTCAATTGGAAGCAATGCTGTAATCTTCTCTGTAGGCTGGGGAAACTTGTCTGGCTTAGAAAAGAAAATTGCATAGTAAATCAATCCCTTTTATAAGGTTTGGGTTTTTTAGTAACAGGCAAACGTGCTCAATGTAGACATCTTCCAAAACTTAGCTTCTAGGCTTGGTAGTGCCAAGAGGTAGGTTTGTTTGTTTTCTTCCTGTGTGTGTATCTCTGAAGATGAGGACTAATTCTGCTGGCTGCTACTCATTCTTAGTTGCTAGTACGATATGGCAGTAGCTACAGAAAGAATGCCTCTAAAATTCGGGTTGCTGTGACTTGTTTCTGCTGGTAGTCGATAAAAAAGAATGGCCTGTGGTAGCTGCTAGGTTGCGTTTATAGGGTTTGAAATCTAGAAATACGTGTAGGAGGACAGTATCTTGATTGCAAGTTGAGAAGGAGGGGCTGCAATCCATGGAGCAAAAGTAGATACTTATTTTACAGTGATCCTTTTCGGTTCAGTGTGGCTTTTGGAACAATGAAGAGAAAATAGCTACTAGTGTCTTACCATTCCTTCTAAAGTGAATAGCAAAACTGAAACTAAAATCCCTCTCAGTTATGTATACAGATAGATTGTGGGTTCCACATCCTGCTCTGACTTCCCTTTGCGTAGCAAGAAAAAAGCTTGGTGCCTTTTTGTCAACATTTTTAACAGCTCAGTGGCAAGTTTTGCTGCAATGTGAAGGCTTTCTAAATCATATTTCTAATTGTTCAGGTTTTTGGTGTTTCGTTTTTTTCTTTTTTCCAGCCATGATTCAGAAAAACATTCGCTACAAAACAGAGAGAGAGATTTGCAGAAGACCTAAATTTGTCTCTCAGACAGAGGTAGAAGAGACAAGAGCAAGGTAAACTGCAACTGCTTATTCTGAGGTGATGGATTTAGTGCATTGTGAATGCAGTGTCTTCCAAGGGTGTTAATAAGGTGAAGGAGTAGTTGTTAAGGCTAGTAGTTGTTAATTGTGAAAGAAATTGAGAGGGGAAGGGACATACCTTTCCTACAAAAATGTCTGCAGTATTGCAGCCTAGCCAACAGTTTTCAAGCAACTTGGGAGCCTGGGGAGTGAAGGAAGTTTGGGCTTGGCCACAGAAAGTGTGGAAGCATAGAAAATAATTCAACAGGTAGCAATGTTGTAGGGAGCTGCTGATTAGAAGGAGCTGTCTTCTTAGAGCAGCTGATAAAGATGGAAGCAAGCAATAATGTTTGTGCATACTAGCCATTTCTGACATCTGAGATCAGTAATTTTCGAAGCTAAGTACAAGTTTAGAAACAATTCTTCTGAGAACAACCAATCTGAGAGGAAAGTAGTAGTTGTTACAGGTGAAGCAAAAGGAAAGAGACTGCAAGGGGAGAAGTTTTATATAATTGCATGTAACAGCCAACCTTTTTTATGCATTCCCTTGCAGCACGTAGTGCTTGCTTAAACAACACAAAAAAGAGCACCTAAACATGCTAATTAAAATTGAGGTGGAAGTAGGGGGGGGCTGTATCTATTCCATTTCTGTTGTATTGATATGATACTGCATGCATTTTTATTTATCTGCTGCACTGTAGCAGAGCTTTTATGTATACATTCAACTCTTTGCAACTAAAAGAACTACTTCATGTTTAGTTCAGTACATATCTTTTTTTTTTTTTTTTCTTTCTCATTTGGCATCTTACTTCCTGCCATAAGTCTTGACATGATTTGGAACAAATATTTTCATGTACTGAACTGAAAAGACAATTTTGAAATGTTTCTGAGTGTGTTCAGTTGCCTATATTCTCCCTAAACTTGGCAAGAATATTTAGTGTTATATGTACATAAAATGTAGGGATTTGTTTTGTTTTAATTACCTATTTGTAATGTCTTGTAATATACAGTGCCTTTAAACATACAGAAGAGTTTAAGCACATTCCGGCTCACTGGGACAAATCTGCCTTGCCTGAACTGGGATTCAAGGTTTGGAGCTTTTTGGTTTTTCTGTCCATCCGTTTTGTCGCATACAGGTTTGTTACATCAGAAGTTCAGTGTTTCTCATGCCTTTGTAGATGACCTTTTCTTACATAACGTAACGCAGAGGTGTTGGTAAATTTGAGCCTGGCATCACGCTGGGCAGACCTAGAGGTGAAACTAGACCCAAATTTAAACTAACAAATGGTGTCAGTATAACCATGGCAACGTTGACTTTCACTGCTACTATTTATCCCTTTCCTTGGCAAATTTGCCTGAAGCTTATACTGTATTAGCAAGACTGTTACTGGTTCCCAAGATACATAACTTTGAAGTCCAACATGTGCTGAAGCATCAGAAAGAAATCATGCCTCTGAACTTGAGGGTAGCCATTCCCTGAGCTGTGTATAAGTAGACTGTTGTACATCTATGGAGCACTGCTGAAAAGAGCAGAGGTCAGACTGGGATCATTTACTAAAATGTACCAGAACTCCAGTGGAGAGAACTTGTTTACCTTTGTAACACACCCAGTTAATATCTGCATGGTTTGCCTTTGCTGACTTCCTGCCTGCCTCCACCACCACCTCTGTCAACTCCAGTAATTATACCTACAGAACAGATCATCTTGTATTTAGCTTGAAAATTATGAACTTGCACAATGCAAATCCTCAAGAAATTGTCAGTAAAAAAATAGGGAAAGCTAACATTGACATTCTCTGTGTTCCTAGGGAAAACATGCGAGTAGAAAACTTTGCTTGCTTTCAGGACTGTCATGTCAGGAACTGATTTTTGGCACAGTGTCCTTACCCTTTCCTAAAATGATTGATTGAATAAAGGCTTTTCAATTTAAAAACATAACAGGCAGTGCAGGTTGTGTTCTCTGGCTGTAGGGAATATAAAGTATAAAGATTTAAAATGCATGGATGTAGAGGTACTCTTTGATTTGCTGCAATATAAATTCTCCATTTTTTTTTTTATTTATTTATGTGCTCATTTCTTCTGTGTTTAGGTAGTTTGATATATGTATGCAAATGTATCTTAGCCCAAATATTAAAAGGGGCTGAGTGGCTGCACAAAAGCACGCAGCTCCTTTAATCTCCTGTGAGAGAGCAACCTGGCTATCTTAAACCGCAGGAGTTAATGTTCCCTAGGTAAGAGCTCACTTTTACAGAGCAGGGATCTCTAATCTGCCTTTTTTCCAAGAGTATTTTTGCTGCTCGTACCTCTGCTTCACAGAAAACACTTTAAAGGTCTGAGTAGTGTACTAGGTAGGGTGATTTTCTTATGAATGATGAGAGTAACTTTTTAATCTTTTCCTTACAGCTGATTGAGCTTGACGGGTCTTCTGAAGAATACAAGAAAGTCAAGGTGGGCTTTCAACGCACAATGCCCAAAACAGTTATTAAAAGGATTTGTAGAGTTCAGAACCCATCTCTCTGGGTACTGTATCAATGGTACGTGTAAAATACTGCTCTGGTATGTGTGCATGAAATTTGTTGTCTCTGCAGTTAACTGTATGCTAAAGATAGACACACGCATTCCTGAAATGCAGCTGCATTTAAGAATCTGCTTCCACTCCCCCACTGAAATACCTAGCCAAGGTCAACATGTAGATAAAGAGGTACTGACAAAACCAAAACTCAGTCAAGACCTAGAGCTTAGAATAGTCAGATGAGCTCTGTGGGAGGAATCTTTGCTCCTGAGTAAGTGGTTTTGACTTCTGCCAGGCCTGTGTCCAGGACAGCTGCCTTGAAGCTGGTAATCAGTCACATCTGGCACAAACACTGCTTTGTAGCTGGTCAAGACTGAAACAGCCTTCAAGACTAAATGCAAAACTCACTGAGGGAAAGTCTTAACATGAACTCCTGTGTTTAGGAAAAAAAATAATGCTAAGATTCCTCCCCCTCTCCTAATAGGCAGTGAATGAAACAAAACATTTTCATTATTAAATACCTGGAGGCATTTGTGTATAACGAAAGCATGTTTTTACACAGCTAGACAGCAAGATACCCTGTATACCCAAAGTTTAGGCCTTAGTGTAAGGATTTTCAGAATGTCCTCTTTGTGTAAAATTGTCTGAGTGCTCATATGGCTGGAACCTGTCTGGAACTGCAAAGACACTGCTGCTCATTGCAGGCAGAAGGAACAAATGCAGAAGAGCAATGGTGGAAAGGCTGTGGATGAGCGATTTTTATTTCATGGGACCAGTAATAAATACATTGATGCCATCTGTCATCAAAACTTCGACTGGAGGATCTGTGGCCTTCATGGGACGGTGTACGGCAAAGGTTGTTTTTCAGTTCTTTCATTAACCCTGGACTTGCTAAAAAATTCTCAGTAGTTACTGCAGAGGTGTGAAGTTAGAGGGCACTCAGCCAATCTAGGGCTTATTTTTGTGATGATGTAGACAACATAGCTGACTTTGGCAATGGTCATTTGGAGCTAAGGCATACTGAAAGGCCTTGGCCTCTATGCTCCACTCTGTCTTTGTAGGAAAAGACAGGTTTAGGAGAGGCCAGTTCTAGGGACGGTTTCCCCTAGAGTCCAGGCTTACTTGTGTTCCAATTTCTCCAAGCTCCTACAGGAAGGCAATGTGGCATAATTTATTTGGGTTTTGGTTGTTTGGTTTTTTTTCCAGGAACATAAATGTCATTCTGGTTACAGACTTTTTACTTTCTTAGCAAATTATATTCCTTTAGATTGTCCTGTGTACAGGAAAGGATAAACATACCAAATGGAACAGCCAAGAGACAGGCTGACTGACTGACTACCCACCCATCTGAATACTTTGTAACTCTCGGAAATGTTCTAATGAATATTAGTAGCCTCTGTCAAGAGAGGAACTTGGGTGAGATTGGGGGAAGGTGGGCGTCTAGGGTCAGGAGGAAATCTTTTTGAGGAATATGATAATATTTAAAACATTATTTGTGTGGCTTTTTAATATCTGTGCTGTGAAAAATAAAAGTGTAGGTAATACAGAGTGGTTGTTGTCACAAAGAAGGACATACAGGACAAGTGAAGGCTTTGGAAAGGTCGTTCATGAACTGCTTCATGGCTTTTGTTTATGAATTCATTTTCACACTGTATCACCTCCTTCCCTGCAATTTTGGTGTCTTATCAACTCTGTCTTGGTTTCTCTTCTGCAGGAAGCTATTTTGCAAGGGATGCATCTTATTCTGACAACTACTGCAGGGAAGACTCATACACTAAGACCATGTTTCTGGCACGGGTGCTGGTGGGAGAGTTCACTCTTGGCAATTCTTCTTATGTTCGGCCTCCCTTGAAGGACAACCAAAACTTCTACGACAGTTGTGTGAATAGCTTTTCAAATCCTTCTATCTTTGTCATCTTTGAGAAACATCAGATTTATCCAGAGTATCTCATAGAATACACTGACCAGGCATTGGCAAAAATGCTATAGCAGCAAAACCTGTCATCATTACGTTTAGCTGGTATAAACATTTTTTTTAGTATTGGCTTAAGAGAGAAAAAGTGATTTTTAGAAGTTTTGTAATTGGGTAGGAGAGTGTTCAGAAACATTTATTCTCTATCCTTTCTGTGCAATAGGAAACAAGAGGTAAAAAGACACAAAAGATGTTCTAAAATTCTTAAAATTCCATTCTCCTATTCTTTAGCAGGTATCATGTTTCCCTGCATTACTAGAGCGTAATAAATTTTTTGGATGAACTCACTGATGGTTGTGACATGAGGATTGGCTGTGACTGCCAAGTTTAAACAATATTTAGTTACAATTGTTTCAGGATAGATCTTTACACTTGCTCGTTGGTCAGAGGTGGCTGTCTCCTACCTGTTTTTTAACTCAAAACTTGATAAACTTTTTTAAATAATCTGTCTCCTGTAACAGTAGACATTCAGATGTTTGCAAATGAGACTGTACAATCTCTGTCTCTGTGCTCAACTCATTGCATAAATTCTTAGCAGCACTGTTTTTTGTCCCTACTTAATCTTCACCAACAAAGCCTCAAAAATGAAACTTGCTTGTTGAAAACTAACAGAGACTTATTTTTCACTTGTTAATTGTCTCATTTAAAACTACTACCAAAGATAGGAAGCATAATAAGGGTTTCTTGGTGCTGTGCTACTCAGAAAATTGAGTTAACTCTATCAAATAAAGGCTTGTGCTGGTTTTGGCTGGGATAGAGCTAATTTCCTTCATAGTAGCTGGTATGAGGCTGGTTTGGATTTGTGCTGGAAACAGTGTTGATAATTCAGGGATGTTTTGTTACTGCTGAGCAGTGCTTACACAGAGTCGAGGCCTTTTCTGCTTCTCACACCACCCCACCAGCGAGTAGGCTGGGGCTGCACAAGGAGATGGGAGGGGACACGGCCGGGACAGCTCACCCAAACTGACCAAAGGGATATTCCATACCATATGATGTCATGCTCAGCATAGAAAGCTGAGGGAAGAAAGGGGGGATGCTCAGAGTGATGGCGTTTGTCTTCCCAAGTAACTGTTAACACACAATGGAGCCCTGCTTTCCTGGGAATGACTGAACACCTGCCTGCTGTTGTGAAACGGTGAATGAATTCCGTGTCTTGCTTTGCTTATGTGTGTGGCTTTTGGTTTACCTGTTAAACTGTCTTTATCTGAGCCAAGCTGAGATACACAATGTAATTTGCTCACCGCCTGGAACCTGGTGCCCAGCCCATCCCCAAGCACCAACCTCTCCTTCCTGGCCAGCGCCCCCCCTTATAAACTGAGCATGACATCATATGGTATTGAATATACCTTTGCCTCGTTTGGGTCAGCTGTCCTGAGTGTGTCCGCTCCCAGCTTCTTGTGAAAATTAACTATCATCTCAGCCAAAAAACCAGGACAGTGTCTCTCATTAGGTGTATTGCCGCTTTGGTTGAAGGAGGTACGCTGGTTACCTGTGTAATCAAGGTGCTTTCTTGCAGGAAAAAATGTTTACCTGGGGAGTGCTTTTCAGCCGCAGAGCTGAAACCTTTAAAAATCTGAAGATTAAGCTGAATATTTAATTGTTTCCAGCAAAAGATGTTAGTGTTGAGCAGTCAGCATTACATATATGCAGATAATCAAAAAACTTGAACTGTCATGTATTTCTTAAGATTAAAGTTGCTGATGCATAGACAGATACTTTATCACAGCTTTAATGCTCCTGAATGAGTACTTGATAGCTATAGTGTACTGCAAAAGCCTTAAGATGTACTTTGCATAGGACCAAAAAAAGCTCATCTCTACCTGTATTCTAGATGCACTTCTTTTTAATTCATCTGGATGATGATTGACAGGTGTACGCTGGCTAACTTTATTACTTCAGCACTGTGAAGCAATGGCTTAGCCATGATTAGCTGCAGTAAGGCTCTGCAGAACAACTTTTTATATGAACTGTAAAACTAGCAGAATGATATCTAAAGGAAAATACTCCTATTCCATGTTTAAACCCAGTAAAATACAGGATGTGGAAAAGCAAGTTGACTATGTGCTTTCTTTTGAAAGACTTGTAATAGAACATGCATGATAAATCTCATGTCAACAAATGAGTTCGTCAGCAAATACTATATTGAGGAGGAAAACATAATGTATGAAAGCTTTCATACCTGTGCAGAATAAGATTTTTCTGCCAAACCAAAAACATGCTTATCTACGTGTTCATGGCAAGTGAGAATACAGATGGTATGCCTTTCTTCTGCTGTACATGACCATCATTTCAGCTAAAAACTGGAATAACTAAAGTCATGTTCATCTTTTGCCAGAAAATTGAAACAAACATTTTTTTCATGTTGAGATATTTTTAATAACACTTTTGATGGCTAATTCAGGTAAAACTGGTAATATTTTAAAAACCTTTAACTTGATTCTTGGAGAGGATGCGTAAGTGTGTGTGCATGTGTGTGTGTGTATGTAAATAAAGTAACTGGAATAAAATGGCTGGTTGTGTAACTTTGTAATCTGTTATTTTGCCATTAACACACAAAGAAGAAAAGTTACCATGTTTTCTACTTTTGAAACTGCAGGGGTAACTTTCTTATGTGTGATAAACAAACGTACTCAAACTACTGAATTCCTTGTATTGTGTTTCTCCCTTTCAATACCAGAAGGACCATGTTTCACTACGTACCTGAATTCTTGGGAATTTTCTTAAAGATGCTACTGTTAAGTAGTGGAGTCTCTCTACAGCTGTTTGGATTGCATTTGGAAATAAACAGCTTAGAGTCGTTTGTATTAAATCCAAACTTTAGACAAAAATCGATAGTTAACCTCTTTTCTGAGTGAGGAGGATATCTCTTGGCTGCTTATGGCAAGAAACTGAGCAGGAACAGTGTAATAATCCCTGCCTCACTCCTACACCATGTGAGGAGAAAGATAAGCCATAAAAGTTGTTTCCTTTTGATAACAATCACAGCCTGGCAAGACAGATGAGAAGCCAGCAGAAGCCAAACAACTTTGCTAAGGCCAGTAGTGCAGCACAGAGCACTGTAGCTTGTGAGCTCCACCCCCCCCCCCACCTGGGCTGGCAGCCACCCAAAGCTAACCCACCACACTGTTTAATGAGTTTTACCTGTAATCAGGTTTGTCATGATATTCTGCCTAGATTTTATAAGATGTGGGTGTCAAAACCCTGTTTGTAAGTGGTGGCAGCAAAGGAGCAGCAGTACGCTACCCGCTTCGGATCCCTGCAGCCTGGCAAAGTAGGAGTGGGGGGTAAGAGGAACTTAGCTGGATGGCACGTACCAACTCCAGTAGCGAATAGCTCCCTTGCGCTTCTTGTTTCAGGCCCCGTCATGAATTCATCTCTACTTGCAAAAATCCTGGCAATTTGAGGGAATCCTGCTCCCTCCTTGAACGTAGCCATAGCACCCAGCAGTGCAGGAAACAAACATCTTGGAGACTGAGCAGACTTTTCACGGTCAGATAAAAGAGAGCGGGGCCAGCGTGAACCAAGCAATGAAATAACAGTTTACAAGTCAGCTTTAAATTTTTTTTAATGTGTTTATTACTGTAAGTGCACAGAAGAGTCTGATATTAGGTGAAGCTGTGTCCAACATGGAAACATCGTTTAACAAAGGGAAATGAGAAGGTGGTCATTTCAGAAAGTATCATACAGAGGAAATTGTGCAGTTTAATGCCAAATAATAGGTAGTTCAAATTTGTAATCAATGAAGCATAATAATTTCTAACACCCAGCTCTGTTTTTCTAGGAATACTATTTATAAAATACAAAACTAAAGGTTTTCTGTATCTGCAGTATCATTAAAAATACCATTTTATACTGACAGCTTTCTGTAATCACTGCAAAGTCCCAGAAGATGTTTTTAATAGAAGCTTTCCTTTACCAAGCAGCCTTTGCTTCGTATCAGCTGTCAGAAAATGACTAAGACCCTTTTGTAAAACAGATATGCCCAGTTTTAAACAAACCCACAGCTCAGCAATGCAAGACAACACACTTATGTTTCTGAGGAGAGAAATTATTTTAAATCAGCTTCCTTGTTCCTCCCTAGACTCAACAGCTGTTGACTGAAGCTTGCTGTACCAGAACTGCTAATAGTCACCATAACTTAAGGATATAAAGATATGTTTTGATATTGCAACTATAAACATAATGCTTTTTTTGGTAGGTTGGTTTCGGGTTTTTTTATGAATCCTAAAGCCACTTCTGCTCAGGATCAGTTCAGGACCACGGTATATGAATGCACAAGGTCACTGTGATTAACATATTACTGTTTCTATCTTGGAGAGCTGCTGTCAGTCTCATGTCTTGTTTTTTGCAAATGTGTGCTTCCAGGGGGCTAGAGTAGCGCCAGTCCCTCAGCACAGCTTGCTCCTTAGGTACGTGGCTGAGCGCACACAGCCAGGGCGAGGGCCAGCATCATTAAGTATCCTGGTAAAATGTCCGTGCAGTGTCTGGTGACTGTATCAGCAGCTGTTGTTTAAAAGGAAGACATGGCTTGGGGCTCTTCCTATATTACTGGAAAGCTGGCAGCCTTTTCTCTGTCTTACTTAGCTGTCTCGCTAGGCCTGCATGTAGAACAAGGGCTGATGCACTTCCAGAAAGCTGACTTGGCCCACGGCTGCAAAAATAATTCCTCTCTTCCATACTACTACAAACTGACAGGTGAAAACAGATAATACTTCCCAAACAGAAAACTTTGCAGGACAGTTGAAAAAAATGTTAGTGCAGACTCAAGTGAGTTTACCTTTACGTATACTGTCCACATTCAACTTAGAAGCAGCTGGGAAAGACTCTTGGTGCAGTTCCCAAGCCTGTAAAATGTGATGCACAGTTGCAGCCTCTGCAGTACTTTTTTCCAGTGGAGTCAACATGATATTCAAGATGATAATGCTCTGTTCAGGCACAGAAATATGACTTGCTCGACTACTCTACATGTTAGTGGCACTATCTTCGATAAATATTGAGGATATAAGCAGCATTCAGACAAGCTGTAGAACAGTCCATACAAAAGTGTATAGAACAAAGGCACAAACTTGATTTAGACTTCGAGTATTTGGTCAAAAATGAAGCACACAATAATCTGCTAATTCACGTAAGGAAGAAAAACAGTAAAAAAATTTTGAAGGGACAAAGAAGCCTTTGACAACTGTCTTCAGACTGGAATGAGCTTCCTGCTCATTCAGGTAGGTAAGAGGTTTTTAGGCAAGGCACATCTAACTTTTTGCCAGTGGTAGATATAAGCTGTACAGTAAATCAGCTGCCAGCACGCTATTTTCAAGAGAGAAAAATGATGGATAACATGTAGAAACTAGGATAGATACAGTGTGTTGCTTTTCAGACAAATAACAATCACTCCATCAGTAATTCATATAATGGGTGTGTCTGTAACAGGACACTTGTGTTTAGCCTGCCAGAGATGCTCCATGGAAATAGGAAAAATTCCAAGACTGCCAGGGCAGTACTTCACCACTACTACCTGTACAGTTCTGGTTAAAAAGAAAACAAACCAAAATTTAAAAAAAACCCAAACCAAACCAAGAAAAAAAAAAAACCCAAACCAAAAAAACCATACCAAAAAAACCAGACATGAAAGAAAAAGGCAAAACCTTCCAGGAAAGGTACAGTAACTTGATCAGTGTTAAGGCAGCGTGTGGGAACAAGGCAGCTACAGGTGCTTGCTGGAGAGAAACTCAGGAGCTAGCTAGGGATCCTTCCAGCAATCCTTGCAGGGAAACTGAGCAGTCAGTCTCTTCCTCCTGCTGTCATGACACTTCTCTGTGCGTACCACCAAGAGAGATGCTGTACCGAAGGAAACCTTGAGCAGAGTATGTCAGCAGGCAGAAGGTCAACACTTGCAAAGAACCAAAAGGTGCTTCCTTATTTTTATGGTGCCATAAGATTTTCTGCTATTTATAAAAACTTTAAAAAGGGGGGGGGGGGGGGGGGGCAGAATAATAAATCCCACAACCAAACCCATTCAACGAGACCATCTTCTCTCATGGTTTTGTTGTACAGCCAACCAGTTTGTGGTTCCCACTGAAGGAAATGTTTTTGTGTTTTGCTGGGGTTTTTTCTGGTCAATTGATCACTGCTGTGTGATGCTCCACTAGCTGTGTGGTGATTGAAGGGCTTTGTAGAGGCGTAGGAAAGAGCGCGGAGGGAATGTGAGGAGTAGAAGCGTATTGCTGCTTTGGCTGTGAAGATGCATGTGCACAGTCATACGGCTTGAATGGATCCATGGTGCTGCTGCAGCTGGCAATTAGACAAGTTCCTTCCTGAGTGGAGGCCCTTGGGACATGACCTGCTCCAGTGTCATGTAAGGAATCAAGAGAGCTGCTGGGACTGATGATCCGGGATCCCACTCCCTCGCCATTGGCTTTAGTGCATGCAGTGCTCTTAACTTCCTTGAGTCAATGAGCTAGACAGGGATGGTGCCAACTGCAATGCTTGAAAAGGAGAGGCCTCAATGTGAAGCAGATGTTGTACCAACACCTTCTGATTACCCTTAAATTTCCTCCAGTTCTCCTGCTTTCTTTAAATTTGTATCTTCTTTTTCTCCACCTTTTCAACAGCAGCTCAGTAGCCAGCAGAATGGCTGTCACCTCATTTCTTTGGTCTTAGCTACTGGAACTTAACTGGTAAGCAGGCAGGGGAACTCTTCATTCCTCTTCAGTCATGTCGATGCAATGTGCCAAGTGCAAATTGTTAATCTAAGTGTATTTCAAATCACTTCAAAAGCACGAAGAATGTGCAACTCCTTTCACTTTACAGACACAGGGAGAGATTAAGCATTGTGCAGAAGACTCAGCTTTGATTTTTAGCAGAGTTCATGATAAAATCCAACGCACTGGATCCCAGGTCTTCTGCTGTAACTGTGGTGCCTCTTGGGCTTTTTCTAGAGTAGGGACTTACAAGCGCATGAGAAGGATGTGAGATAATGAATTATAATTAAAATCTATTTTAAATCGCATGTACACTTAACACCTGCTCCATTTATTGAACTTGAGCATGAAGAAAGCATTCTCAAAGATGAGTGAAAGGAAGTGCAATGTAGAAAAGCAAGTGAAAGTGGGATGCTTCTTTACAGATACTATTGACGGCAATTTGAAAACCACCAAAAAGACTGTGGAGCCCTCATCTGATTTTAAAAAGTGACTGGAGGCTCTCCCACAGGAGGGCAGTGAGGCAGCACCTATTGACCATCAGTGCGACAGGCTCCTACCTGTCTGCAGGGTTTTGAAAATATTTATACCCAGTGAGCCACTGAACAAGGGGTCCCATCCCAGGAGGCTTCAGGATGTACATTTTCTTTTAGCGAGATTCCAGCATAATGTAGACTCCATTTTTTGGTCCAAGTGTGGCTTTTGATTTCAGCTGCAAAGGAATCTGAAAGAAAAAAGAACATCTTACATACAGTTGTACGTATTTGTTCATGTGTGTATAACACCCCCACATACAGACAGACATTTTTGCTGGGGGACCAATTCATACCAGGATTACTGTGGAAGCTTTAAAGTACTTGTTTTACAGTCTGCTGTGGTAGCATAATATTAAATAGAATTTACAGCCAGGGGCTGAGGCAGTGGTTGCCCAGGTATACTGTAGATCTGAACAGAAAGAAATTAACTCTATAAACTCTTGAGCTGCTGAGTAAGTGCCAGGTGCAATGTATACAGGAATAGGCATATACTAAAGTGCTGAGATCCCATGAAAGATGTACACTCCTTCTCACCCCATATAAATCAAGGTCTTTTGACTGTGGTGCTGCTACACTGCTCTCCACTATAAGGCAGACCTGTGTAACTGTTTTGTTAGAAGAAATCATAAAGGTTAAATCACATTTTGATTAAAACATGCAGTTGAAGCCTCTTCTCCCACCTTATTATGGAAGTGGCTCATGCAGTGTTCTCAAAATAAGAGAAAGTCACAAAGGCGAGTCAGTCACCCTGTCTAGGACACACTGTCAACTCCCTGAAGTTGACAAGTGTGGCCTTTAAGTCTCTGCACGTACAAACCTCAGTTTCTGGGCAGGTCTTAAATTGAAACTTTTGCAAAATCCTCAGCAGAGTAATTTTTGTCTCCAGCAAACCCATTTTCATGCCAATGCAGCCACGGGGTCCTGCCCCAAAGGGCAGGTATGCAAAGGGATGTCGTTCCTTCTTGGCCTCCTCCGTAAACCTAGAAGGTGCAGAGATGGAAACTGGTTCAAGAAATGCTTTTTGCTCCTGATTCCATGTTTTTCATCTACATCTCAAAAGGTAGTTATTTCAATTGGTTTTAATGGACAGGTTAAGGGGACTATTGACAGATTATGTCTTGATGGTCCTAACAGCCTTAAGTAAACAGATAATTGACTTACGGCCATCAGCCTGTGTGAGGACAGACAGACATTAGTAGTGCTTCCAGTCTCTCTCTAATGTGATTGCCTTCATTTGATGATCACGCTCAGAAGAATGATAACTTCAGGTGCAGACATGCTAGCTGTGTCGACCTTTGCATGTATGAGGGAGAGATTGCAGCTAAGAGGAAACTAACGGGCTGCAATGTGAACTAACTAGAATTAGCAACAGCGCCTCCCTCCTGTGCACTGCGGATACAGATCAACGAGAATTTCTCTTTGAAGCTTGCAAGGGGAGATGAAATCTCACGGGATTGGACAGGCCATGGAAGACAGTTATTATAGTTCAGTACAGCCCTTCTTTCTGCTCTGGGCCCAAAGAGACCAGGTTCCCCGCTGGGAAACACTGAAATTGCAGACAGCTCTGTTCTTAGAGCTGAAGTGCCTCAGTCCAATTGGAAAGACTGATTAATGTGGCAGTCTGTATGCAGATCTGCATCGACTAGCTAGCTTGGAAATACTTGATCAACCCATTAGAACTGAGCCATTTTTTTTCTTTTTCTTTTTATTTTTTTTCACAAGGAAGGAAACAAAATTCCTATTTGAACAGCAGTCCAAAGGAAAAAAAGTAAAATCTGTTTGCCAACATCTGCAAAGAGGGATGTATACTGGACAGAATATGCACAGACAAGAGTACAGAGTGTGAGTCAGTACAAGTTATTAGGGCCAATGCATAATCAACAAGGTGAGACTCATTCTGGCCTGTGCTTAGTCCCTGATCAGAACGGTTCCTTAAAACACGCAAACCTTTACAGCAATGGCATTACGCTGGAAATCTACATACTCCTCCCATGCCATAAGGTATTTGGAGCTCTTCTGGTAGTACAGAACTACTTTTCTGTAGTTCTGTATGTGGATAAAGGTTCTGTCCTTCATGTATAGGGTCATCTCTGAAAATTGCTCATCTCTTTGGATACAGTTTGCAAGAACTTTAGACTGCTAAGGCCCAGAGAACTCACGCAGAGTAGAATGAGATGAGAGGTAATACAGGCTACTTTGAGGTTTGGAAAAAAAGAATATTGTGTATTTAACACACTAACTCTATCCCCATGCTTAGATATCCTAAATAAGATTGGGCTACTACTGCAAAAAATAGCGTGCTTCATTCCTCACAGAAATTTCAAAAGGGAATTAATCTCAGATTCGTAACAAACAGCACCATGAGTCAAGGGGACTGCAGCCCCCACTATCCATTTTTCCCTGTAATGTGCTTTCATACTATTGTTAAAGTGGTGAATAAACAATTAAGACAGCATTTCTAGATAGGTGTTGCTAAAAAAACCCACCCGGACTTCCAGTAATTGCTCAGATTCCTCCCCAGCAAAACCTCTGGGCTTCTCTAACCCTGGCATTACTGCTCTTCATGGCCTAAGGTGCCTGGTAGGGCATATGCCAAGATCTGCTCCAGAAGGAGTGCTGGGCAAACCCACCTACACCATACATGTGTTGTCTTACTGGCAAAGATGGTTCTGCGCTGCTGCCTCACACCCAGTCAGTCATTTGTGGAGCATGCACTTTTTTACTTAGTAGACTTTTCAACGTAGTGCTAGCTTAAAATGCAACTGCCCACAGAACAGCTTAAAATACAGCTGCCCACAAAACTAAATTGTGCTTCCACACAGCACCACATCAGTGGAAACTCTCCCTGTGAGCTCAACTCAGCATCTGTAAGATAGGGCCGAGTACAAAACCACAACTTGACAGTGTCCCCTCAAGTTGAAGAGAATAAATGCTCCATATGAAAGCATGTCTTGCCAAGCAGAGCTAAGAACCCAGGATACTAACTTATGGACAGAGAGAAAATTCCCAGTGGGAGATGGGATAGGTTCCCCACTCACATCGTATCCACATCATTACATGATCTTAGGTAAAAAGGCTGGTCTAAACCAGCCAGGAGCTGGACGAGTTTCCTGGGTACCTCTATGCCAGTGAATATACTATCTCACTTCAGAATTTCTCCATCCAGAGGTGACACAATTTGCAGCATCTGATTTGGAAACAGGTCTGAAAAACCGCACCACGTTTCAACCTTGACCAAACCTCGCACCCTCTGTGCAATGTGCCACTATCGCCACTTGTCTAATTTGGTAGAAATAACGTATTTTTATGACCCAAACTAAACTGTGCTCCTCTTGGTGGAAATACTGCTTCAGGTGAGTAGTGGGTTACTGTGGCTGTGAAGGAGCAGTAAGATTTGGTGTCTCCACTGGACAGGCTGGAGTCCTGTGCCCATGCTAATGCGTGAAACAGCATTTAAGGCAGGTCTTTGATCTAAACAGGCCCAAATAAGGACTTCAACTTAAGAATGGAAAGCATTACTCCACGTACCTCTCAGGAATGAACTTTTCAGGCTCTGGCCAGAACTCAGGGTTGTGGTGGAGATGTCCAACTGCAGTTTCAATGACAGCCCCAGCTGGAATACGCTGCCCCAGCACTACGCAGTCTTTAGCTGCTTCCCGAGTGAACCTGCAACAGTAAGTGTCACATGTCCCAGCTGATTAATAAAGGTAAAAACACAGCAGGAAGGAACCATAAAAGTAAATCTCTTCAGCTGGACTGACCCTGCAATTTCGGGAGTAACACTTTCCCAGTAGATAAATACAGCAACCGTTGCTGATGCTAGTGTCTTCTCAGGTTACGATCACCTCCACCTAGAAGCACACAGCTCCAACCCAGCTAGCTAACTTTTGCCCTTGTCACAGTAAAGCATTTCTGGTTGCTTACGGTTTTCCAAAACGTTAGCTGTTAAACTGCATTTTTGCTGCTAATGTTGGTTTTAGACTCATTTTTTATGAAAACCACAGATGAAATGTGTCAGTCATCTCTAATAACAGGCAGAAAGAGTATGCTGCTTTGCTTTCAGGAAAAAAGTTATATCAAATAAATACAGTTTTGAGTTTGCTTATTTGAGAAGCTCCCCCATGTTGGGCCAGCACCTGAAACTTAGCAAGGGATGGTTTTAATATTAGGGCTAAGTGTTCTGCTGCTGCTACAAAAATACAAACCAATTCACAAGCCTTGGGAAACTGCATTTCACATACACTCATCAAAGATAGGCATGACGTTAGCAACAAAACTCTCCAGTTTCCTCCCACCCTGTGGTGACAGGTGACAAGAGTAGGACTGTCCTTAGGAACCTCATCATGACAAGAAGACTGAGAAAAGCCACCTGCCAAAGCCACGCTTGGGTCTGTAAGCCTTGTAAAAAATGGTGCGTGGGTGTGCATGTGTGGTGGCAGATCCTGATCTAGATCTTTCGTTGCTGGGGTGGTGGCTACAGACCCCAAACCAGCCCAGACCCAGGCAGGTGCCCTGCTATCTCAGCCTGGGAGCTGGGAGCACAGGAGTGGACAATGTGCAGGAGCTCCTTTTGCTGCTCCCCACCCTGTGCCTACAAAGTTGAACAAAGATTTCAGTTTCAGGGCTGTCAGTCTGGTATCGTTACAGGAACACATTCTTTCCTTGCTGTCACCCATCTCTCTCTCTCTCATAGACAAATAAATGAGACTCCGAAACTGGAACAAAACACTGGCATGCTAAAAAACACATTGACAGGCCATCCTTCTCATCTTTACATGAATTTGGTGATAGTGGAAACATGAGTTCTGGGGAAGAAAATTCTCTGGCTAGTAAGTTCATTTTTTTAAAAAGAACCTACTCATTTTGTAACAAGCTTGGCTGCAACTGAATTTTCCCCTAACTCAGCATTATCCTTGTCATAGGCAATTAGCATCTTTCCGAGGCACTGGGCCTTCCTATCCATTCCACATCCATCAGAGTAAAAGCCAGATCAATAAACACCACCAACAACGCCAACCAAAACTTCAGACCAAGTTTGCTCCGTTCTCATTCTGTTTCCCTTCTGACAAACATTGATTGTTTCCATGTTTCAGCTGAAACTCAAAGATCCTTGACACTTTAACTGGCAAAACATTTTCTACTTGTATGCCATGTATAACAGTAAAGCCCAGTCATCTCATCCAGGAGCAAGTATATCTTTGACATCTACTCTCCTAACAATCCTGCAGATGTCCATGGAAAAATCTTGACTTCCAATCTTTGTGAACATACAAAAGAGAATAGGATTTAAAGCATTTTTATTTTAAGGTACTTGCAGTCATGGGGTAAATTTTTCAAAGGCTCTCACAGCAAGCTCAGATTTGGCTCCTTTCCAGTCATCTGAATTTTTCCCCCAACTTCACGAGAAGCAGTGCAACTGGCTGACCGCTTTGACAGGTTCCATTCTTAACATTTGCATTTATGCTTCTGATAATTTGGAAATTTGACAATCAAACAGTTTTCTAATTTCTTTTCCCCTTGTTTTCAGTTCATCAATATAACTTAGTAAAATTAGTCTTGCTATCCTCCATGCCATGCAAATGCACGGCCTACTAGAATTTCATGAAAATTCAAGAAGCCTTGTAAGAAGTACTATAGTACTAGTCTTGTGTGAATTGGGGCAAAACTCAAAATTTAATGGATGCAGCCATTAGCTTAGCTATATTAGTATAGCACAGTACTAAATGCAAAACAGTAGGGGTCCAAGTTAAACACACATGCAAAATACAGTTTTCTGAATGTGCAACCCTCCCGCAGATCAGGGCCTTAATGACCAGCAGGGTAACTCATCCACCAGCCAGCAGGCTAGGATAGGTCTTTGCTTCGTATCCTGGAAGCCTGAGGCATACGGAAGCATCATCTGGCTTCCAAAGGCCAGTCCTGCTGCAAAATGGCTTCATCCTCTAACCTTGGGGCATGTGAAGAATGGTGAGGAAGCAATCTTGGCCAATTCATTGTAAAAGACTCTTTTAGAAATACCAGTGCTAGCCAGTTTTCCTTCAATAGGCCACATTATATCTTTCAAGTGCACAAGCAGTATTGATGTTGGCACAGAGACCAAGGGCACTTTGGTCTTCCAACAGCAGATTTCCATTTTATAGACCTAGGGATCTATCCTGTGGAATCAGAAGGGGGGGAAAAAAAAGATACCTAAATGCAGGTGGGTACATGCGCAATGTCTCTGCAATCACCATGTCCAGGTAAGGGAGTTCTTGTACATTTTGGTAATCAGGGACCATCTGAAAAGGCAGGAAGAAAGGAACAATTACATTTTCTCACATTTAAGTGCCAAACTCATTTCAGATTAGCTTTTAAATCATCTATTTTTTACTGGGCATTTTTCCTGTAGAAGAACTCGATGTCTCATCTAAAACAGTAAATGATAAAATTATACAAAAATGTGGGCAGTAATTAAATGTGTGTATAACATTCCTTTCATCATCAAAACACTTTGGTCCACAGCCCAGCTGAAGATATAATAATAAATCAACTTGCTAGGAAGTATTAAAAACAGGGCGTTACAGAGAGCATTAATAGCTACAACAGAGCTATTGTATTATACATGCACTAAAATCTGCACAGGACCCTTCTTTCTTCCCAAAGACGGGAGCGTGGCAGACCAGGAGCACTTTGTCTCCAGGAAACACCAAGTCCTTGAGTTATTCTTGCTCATGTTGGAGCAAACCCTTTGCCCTTTCCCAGTTATAGAAAAAAAGCAAAGTGCTAGTGGAGGGGTGGGAGGTGGCACTTGAAGAAACCGACACCCCGATGAGGAATGGCACGCAGTGGCAAATTGCTCTGCCGAGTAGAGGGGGCTGAGGTACAGCTCAAATCCCACCCTGCAGGATTGCAATAGTGCCTGGGGAGAGAAGCCTGTTTCCTCCCGTGGCCACCGCTTGTGTCATGCTGCTTAATTTTGCATGGTGGGCAATGCCAGAGCCTACATTTTTGTAAGTCTACAAAAACACCCAGCCCTCGACAATGAGTGCTGGGCACTAAAACCCAAACAGTGCTGTAGCTCAGAAAACTTTGTCCTCTGACAGGCAGCAAACAGACAGTGAGAGACACCAAACCACAGATGACCACCAGCAGCAGTGGCACGACTTGGCGCATGGACAAACAGAGAATTTTTCCCACTGTCACCTTCCTTGGAAAAAGGACATGTTCCCTGTTTTATTCAGTGCTCTCAGCAGAGGGCAGCCAAAGTACATCTAATAACCTCATCAGGAAAGCAGAGTTTTGTTTTAAATTAGAGCATCTCCTAAAGACTGACACGGAGTAAATTGGAGAAAAGCACAGACGTCAGACTAGACTAAACCTTTTATGAAGATTTGGGGCCCCTGCCGTTCACAAAGGGGACTGGATTCCATCCTTCCTTTATTTACTACAGCACTTTTCATGTATAATGCATATTTTATTGAATTTTCATGCAAAAACATATGGTACATACTGAAAATACTAAGCAGAGAACAACTCCAGATGGTATGCAGAAAAGGCGTACAATAGAACGAGGATACCTTGCCGGATTAGGGTATCCCACTTATTCAGCACTAAGCCACCATGCACCATTTCACATTAACTGATCTTTTCTAGGAAGGAAATAGATAGATACATTCTATTATCCCCTTTTTTTGACTCAGGAAAGAAACGCAAACCCAGAGAGAGCAATTTGTGCAGGCTGAGCAGAACCAGTGTGTCTGCTGCTCTCTAAGGGAAAAAGATGCAATTCAGCTTGTCAATAGATGAAGTATTTTGTCAGTATATGTCAAATATTATCAATACAGGAAGTATAGACTGTACCGACAGCCTTCCAATGTTGCTTTTATAATGAAGTAGTGCTTACTAACTCAAACCTTTGGCTTTGGTCGACAAATGACTAGGAGACTAAAAGCCACAAATGGCAGCAATGTCATCAGAACTGTGGCTGAAGGCTGTGCGAGGAGCTGTGCTCCAATAATTTGAATAGCTAAAACCAAAGACAGGAGGATGATTTTTATCATCCTTGTTTTGCAGAAAGGGATCCAAGAGATACATGGGAAATCAGCGGAAGGCTGGAAATGAACTGTGATTCCACTCAAATGCCAGGCCTTTGTGGCAAAACTACTCTTCTCCATGACCACACAGGTGCTCCACACTTTGATGCAAATGCACGCTGTGGTGTGTATTCATTTTTCTTCTGCTAATTTTACATCCTCTATCCTTTTTATACTGCTCTCCTACATCTCTTTGAATCCTGGGTCAGCATCTGAGTCCCGTCCCTGCAATTCCTCCTGATTTCACGGACAGGCTGGCTGAGGGAAGAGCTCAGGCTCAGAGTAAATGAGTGGTGGAGTGGAGAGCACACTGTGATGTGTTCGATTCTCTGAGCCATACCCTTTCCACTGGGCCTTCCTGTCTCTCTCATAATCCCTCGACTTACTTCTGGAGTCAATAATTAAGATAATTATATGGTAACCTGATATAATAAGTAGCCACTAAATCAAACCATACATCAACAAATAATATAACACTAAATTATGGGAGCTTTGATTTGCTCTTTCAAATAGCTTCTATACCTTCAGGGGATTACCAGTTCAGAAAAACAAAACAAAGGTGAAAACCAGCTGATTTTCCTTAGAAGAAAATTCCTTTTGCTTACATAAAGAAAAAGGGGTCGGTCAAATGGCAGCACAGTGAACTCTGCTATCGTGAGCATGGCAGACACATCAGTCATTTCCTGCATCTGATGCAACTTAATTATTGGCACTTCCATGCTTTTAGCATCAAAGTAGCTGGACCTAATTTAGTAGTTGTTTGCAAGGTCTGACCCAGGGCTGCGTAAAGTACACACCAGCCAAGTATCTCTATTTAGGAAGGACAGCTTGCTGTTTTTTTTTTCCTTTCAAAGAAAATATTTTCCATTTGTTTTTCCACTCCCTCTCTTCAAAATATTCCTTTAGCCAAGCACATTTCAAAGGAACTTAAACATGCTTTTCTCCCTAAATGTCCCTATTTATATCTTTGAACTGCTGGCAGGTTTGCTGGGGTGGGGGGTGGTGTTGTGCAAAGATGCCACTTTAAGCCCCTGGCAAAAAAAAATTAAAAAAAATCTACATTGCTTCTTACTCAAGATTGGGTGTTTTTTCATTAAGAAAGAGATTCCTTTCTGTAACAAGTAGAGATGTGGGGAGGAAGAAAGGAGGCACCACATTGCATGTAATAAAACATCCTATATTTTAATTTTGCAGCCACTGCACAGCAGTTTGTCTTATGCTTTGCACAGCCTTGTAGTATCTTTTTTTGTTGATGTGGAAGCAAAATGGCCATGTAACATCTTGTGGCATTTTCTGTGTGTGCACGTTTCCTCGGTTTGATTTCCGGAGGCGTGGTGGTACACTCTCACCCACCCCAGACCATTCAATCAAGCATCTAGTTTGATCACCAGTTCTCCTTTATGACTGACAGCAAATCCTAGGCCTCAGTGCCTTAGAAAAAGGTGGGAAATTAATTCTTCACCCCACAGAGTACCCTGAGGTGTAATACCAGCAATGATTATAAAATTGCCTATGTGCTACAAGGATGGTGCATGTTTTAATCCCCATATAAATTCCAAGAGCGATAACTGCCTTCAGATCCACCTCTGCTTTTCAGTATTGGCTTTAACGATTTCTAGGCAGGCAAACCTATTTTTTGCCACCACCCTCAGTTAACTTTTAATTCCTCAATGAACACCAAGGGAATCCAAGTGCTGACAGGAGAGGTCTGGCCAATCTTTCTGCTGCAGTTTGAGATGTTACTGTTCCCAGTTGCTCGCTCCTCTTTGCTGGCTGTGGTTAGCATCACCACAGCCAAGTCAGCAGAAGGGAACATATGCCTGCACCTCAGTTGCTTCCATACAACGTCCAGCATGAACCCATCTTCAGCGACAGTTTAAGACAAGATTCTAACTTTTTCCCAAAGTAGCTGCCGAGTGAGGCACAGATCCTCCTCTACCACCTCTGTTTTGGGAATGGTAATCCAAGTACACATCAGTGAATAAAAGATTTCCACTTATCCTACTGGTCATGGTCTGGTGGTGCTCAGCAGCCAGAAATGAAAAAAAAAAAAAATCAGAGAAAATTTTGTGTAGCTGACAGAGTGTGACATGCACCTGAAATTGATTTGGAAGCAGCGAAGGCTGCAGAGACTACATTCCTCATAACCAGTGCTGCTGAGTCATGGCCTGAGACTGAACCGTCTGCGGTTTCTGAGAAATTGCAATCCAAATCAAATGCCTCATGGGCAGGTGTGACTGTGACAAAGTCCATGTCAGAGAGATGACGTGCAGATCTGCCTAAGTGCAGATGTAGATCCATGAGTTATCTGTGTATGCATAGCTACACAGCCCACATCGTCTCTCCCTCAAATGTAGACTTCAGATAGCAACAGAATAGCGGAAGGGGAGTCAAAAAACCAAGCCAGCATCATCCCCAGTGTCTCTCACCCACCTCCCCTTCCAAATTGCCAAAAGAGCTATTCAGACCATAGCCATAGCTGGGCTTCACAAACAGGTCAATAATGTTCCTTGATCAAATGGATCAAAAGCTGTTGATACATCAAAGAAACTGCCTGGGGTTTTGACCTCACTTTGGCCACCTCTAGGACCTGCTCGTCCCCTAACAGAACCAGAGCCTGCGTGCCACGCTCAGCCTTGGAGAGGGGGAAGAAACGCAAGAATACTATGTAAAGTGAGGGTTGCCCCATGACAACCTTGCTAACAACCATATCAAGAAAGGAAAGGTTAGAGACAGGATAGCACTCAAAATGCAGATCAATGGAAAAAAAACCAAACAGGTTGGGTGGTTCAACAGACACCTGTCTTTAACTTGCTTAAAGAAAGCTTGCCTCATGTTTTACCACTTCCACAACAATATGCTGGAATAGCTGTAAAGCACCAAACTAAAACCTCCCTACAATGTCAGGCAATGAAACAGGGACAAACTTGAAGTAAAATTTCTTGGCTTCATCCTCAGAACTTGGATCAAATACTAAAAAATGCTTAAGGCAGTCCTCATGCGATACTTACTGGAAAATAGCTCTCTGCTGTCTGTAGTGGAGCCCGCACCTGCCAAGTGAGATGTCTCCCTGAGGCACGGCACCAGGCAGAACCAGCCTCGCCGCTGGGGAAGAGGGACCCTGAAGGCCCAGAGTGCCACTCATCCCAGGAGGCAGGTCAAGGCAGAAGGTGTTGCTTTAAGATACATTGCTTTAAGATAGAGAA